TGGATTCTTTCACCCAAAACCCATCAACAAGCCTCTCCCTAGGCCTTTCTGATCTGGTCACAGTCCAGCAGCTCATCTGTTCTTAATCTCTAACTTTGACTCATTGAATCCCTTCTCCCCTCTTCATCTTCCAGCTCCCCCAACACACTAATTTGGGTCATCCCTTGCCCCTCTTACCTTTCATTCCATTAACCACTTCCCTCTGTCCTTCTCTTTATTTTCAATTAATTTTTACTTTCACAGAAGGAATTTATGCACGTAATCTAAGTGATCAAATGAGCTACAAGGATTATAATAACAAAAAACAGTCCCTAGTCTCACCCTCTCATCCCCACCCCCAGTGCTGTGCCCAGAGTCACTGTCAACACTTGGCTCTGGCTTTAAGTGATTAAGTCTCAGTTATGTGCTACCTCCTGATTACTCCATTTTAAAGTTTACCTACCTCCTTCCTACTATGGTAAATGAGGATTCTAGCTCACTCACGCCCACTTCCCTTGCCCACAATCTTTCTCAATAAATTTACGCCAAAATTTTTGTTAAATTCATATTCAATGCATTAATTATTAAGATGTTGTTTGTTTATGAGCCAAATAAGATTTTCCTGATAAGATTTATCAATTTTACTTGTTCCCTCTCTCTTCTGGTTCTAATCTGTACTGAGAGTTTTCTAACTGCTAGATGTCATGGGTATAAGTTATTTTGGGATTTCTCTTCACTAATGTTCAAAAATTACCCAGCTTCTCTCTCCTACATAGGATTCCCCATTTCCCAGTTCTCATGTCATCTTTCTTGGTTTATTCCTCAGTTTTTGCATAGATTACATCCTGTAGACTTTTAGACTTTGCAAGTTTGAGAATATTTTATTCTATCCTTATACTTTATCAATTCACTTACTATAAGCTAAATTCATATTTTGAAGCTATTACTCTGTTGCCTTGCATCTTCTAAAGTTGTTTTTGATAATTTTCATTCCTGATCCTTTGATGGTTAAGTTTTCCTTCTTTTCTCTTGCTCTCTCAGTCAGCTTTAATGTGCTTTCTATTAACATTCAAGTTTCAAAATTCTCAGATGGTATACTTTGATTTGGTGTGTGTGTTTTTTTCTTTTTTCTCTGCAAAAAAAATTTTTATTCAGGTATAATTTGGGGATTTTTTTTTTCATTTATTATGTTGAGCATATAGTGAGCACCTTTCAATATGAGAATTCATGTTTTTATTTAGGAGAATCATTTTTTGTTGTTTAAAGTATTACATATGCCTCCTTTTTTCCGCCGGTTGACACCCCCCAGGCCACTCCCACCCCTGAGGGCAAGCCACCACTGCCCCAGTATCTGTGTCCATTGGTTATGCCAATATGCATGCATACAAGTCCTTTGGTTGAACTTTAACCTCCCCACTTGCCTTCTCTCTGAGGTTGGACAATCTGTTCAGTGCTACCTTGTCTCTGGATTTATTTTTGTTCATCAGTTTATGTTGATCATTATATCCCACATATGAGTGAGATCATGTAATATTTATCTTTCTCCAACTGGCTTATTTTGCTTAGCATAATGCTCTCCAGTTCCATCCATGCTGTTGCAAATGGTAAAAGTTTCTTCTTTTTTATAGCAGCATAGTATTCCATTGTGTAGGTGTACCACATCTTTTAACCCACTCATCTGCTGATGGGCACTTAGGCTGTTTTCAAATCTTAGCTATTGTAAATTATGTTGCTATGAACATAGGGGTGCATATATCCTTTCTGGTTGGTGTCTCCAGTTTCTTGGGATATTTCCTAGAAGTGGGATCACTGGGTCAAATGGGAGTTCTATTTTTAACTTTTTGAGGAATCTCCATACTGTTTTCCACAGTGGCTGCACCAGTGTGCATTCCCACCAGCAGTGCACATCCGCATCCTCGCCAGCACTTGTCGATTGTTGATTTTGGAGGGGGAAAAATTTTTTTTAATAATTTTCTAGTGAGTTTTCTCTATTTCACCTTACTAGTCAGATATCAAATTTCTGGAATTGGTTTATAAATTTTCCTATCTTTCTCTCTCTTATTGTCCAGTCTTTTTATTTCCTATTCCAGCAGAGAGTTCTTGCAATCCTTTTACAGATCATTTTGTTTTAGCGATCATATTGTTAATGCCCCAAAGTGCTTCCTTATTGTTCGTTTATCTTTTTAAAATAACATTCTATTCTTTCTAGAGCATTCTCTTTTATCTCTGAGGACATCGAGGCTTCTTTGAAGCATTTTTCTGCTTTCAGCATTGTCCTTGTTTTCTTCTCTATTTGTTTGCTTCATGTTGGAGGCTTTCTTCCAAAGTCTAATTATCTCTTACTGTTCTATCACATTTAATAGTGAGTCACTAAAAAGCTGATTAGAAACTTTGTAAATGGGCTTCGAACAGGGTCTTAGAGTAGCAAGAAAATTTTTGTGGGAGGAGGTCACCAAATGTCATTTTGTCTCCAAGATGGCTAGTTTCCTCTCAGAAGGATCGTCCATTCTGTCATCTTGAAACCTCTAGCCTTTTCTATTTCATAGGTCTTTTATCACACCATACTCTTCCCTCAGTTCCATTCTGACTCATAGTTTCTGTCTTCACTGTTGAGATGCAGAACATCCTTTAATCCCCTGATTTTCAATTCTGCTCTCCTCCAGCTTTTCTTTATACTTAGAGCCCCCATGTTATTTCTCCAGAGACTCCTGTAAAGGTGGAAGGAAATGGTCTCCTTATTTACCAGTGGGCTCTGAGAGTCTGATGGATCCTCAGAAAGACTTTCAAATAAATTCCCACCTGCCTTTTCTGGTACTGGTGCCTCTAATTCGTAAGCCTTTCCAGAGGGCTGTGAGCAAGCCCTCCCTTCACAGCACTTGGCTCTGACCTTTCTCCAGTCTGCTAAGTCATGCACCATCCTTTACCTAGTTTCCATCTTTGTATCTTGTGGTTTAGGGTTATTTATGTCTCTTTGATTGTATCAAAGATGGAACTTGTGCCTTCTTTTCCTGTTGCCCTGATGTTTCGGGATGATTATTTGAGAAAAGAAGAATGAATGAGTGATGGGGGCGGGGGCGGGGGGGGGAGAATAGATATGTCTTCATTCTGTCATCTTAAAACCTCTAGCCTTTTCTATTTCATAGGTCTTTTATCACACCATACTCTTCCCTCAGTTCCATTCTGACTCATAGTTTCTGTCTTCCAGATTTTCTGGGTGAGTTAGATATCATTAGACTGGTTTCAGACATATGACATTTAGGGTATTAATGAATTAACAAGTTCCACATGGGATATGATAAGTAGGGATACCTTTTTGTTGCAATAATTATTGTCTTAAATTGTATAGGGCATACTCTTTTCCATAGTGCCTGCACCAATTTACATTCCCACCAACAGTGCACAATGGTTCCCTTTTCTCCACATCCTTGCCAACACTTGTTATTTCTTATCATTTTGATAATAAACATTTAACAGATCTGAGGTAATGCATCATTGTGGTTTTGATCTGCATTTTTCACATGATAAGTAATGTTGAGCATCTTTTCATGTGTCTATTAACCAATTGTATGTCTCTTTGGAAAAATATTCAAATACTCTGCCCATCTTCTTAATTGGATTGTTTGGGTTTTTTCTCCTTTGCTGTACAGAAGTTTTTTAATTTGATATAATCCCATTTGTTTATTTTGTTTTTGTTGCTGTTGCTTTTGATGTCAAATTTTAAAAAATCATCACCAAGACCATGTCAAGGAACTTACCACCAATGTTTTTTTCTAGGACTTTTATGGTTTCAGGTCTTACAAATAATTAATTCATTTTGAGTTCCTTTTTATGTATGGTGTAAGATAGGGTTCTGTTTTGTTCTTTGGCATGTGGATGTCCATTTTTCCCAACATCATTTATTGGAGAAACTGTCCTTTCTTCATGGTATATTTTTGGCTTCTTTGTCATAAATTAATTAATCACATACATGTGGGCTTATTTTTGGACTCTCTTTTGCATTCCATTGATCTATGTGTCTGTTTTTATGGCAAAATAGTTGCTATTTTTTACTTTGAAAGCACAAGGACATACAAATTTAATTCCAGAAGTTCAAGTTTTCTTTATCTTCTTTTCACTTAGATCAGTGGTTCTCAACCTTTCTAATGCCTCAACTCTTTAATAAAGTTCCTCATGTTGTGATGACCCCCAACCATAAAATTATTTTCATTTCTACTTAATAACTATAATTTTGCTACTAAGACCATTGGAAAACATCATTTCTCTCTTTTCTCTTATACTATATAAAATTTTCAAATGGGAAGTTTAGATAGCCTTAAAAAAAACTAAGCATGTAGATGTCTTTTCTCTTGATCTGCCTGATGCCCAATCTGTGTTCCCAAACCATTTATAAACTTGGTAGTGTATGTATATGAAATAAAAAGAACCTATGATAACATTTTATTGAAACCAGAACTCAAACCATTAATTAAAGCTAAGCACACCTGCTCTGAACTGAAAAGTTGGAGATTTATGTGAACTTGTAAAGTTAAGGATTTCTGACCTCCAGTAGGATTTATGTTTCCTTTAAATAAGCACTTCCTCTTTGTAACGCAATATTTTTTTAAGTTTATATCAGTGACTAACCTTCTGGCATAAACAGATATGCTGTTCAGTTCCTTTATTGCCTGGTTTTACCCACTGTTTGCCAAATATTTAAAGTTTTGGATGAAAATAAGCAGGTTCAACCACAAGGCCTAGAATTTCTTGTTCTGAACTTGTTAATGAGGTGATCTAAAAGATATCCATTCATTCAAACTCCACACTGTAAATTAAGAGCATTTCAATATAGTTATTCACAGATATACTCACTGCTTGGAAGGTATCAACTACCTTAGAGTGGTTTATTACAAGCAAGACTTGTTAAGTTACAATACATGCATGTATAGTCTGTTCAGTAAGACAGTTTTCCAATCAAAGGAAGACATTCTAATGTTCAGATTCAGATACAAATACCTTAGAAAAAGAGGTTTCTGTGAGGTTACCTTGGATAGGTTCATTCCCAGAACTGTGAGTGTCACCAAGCCAGCACAACAGACCAGGGCACTGGAGCTGGAGAGGCCAGAACTTGGAGGGATAGTCCCATCCACCAGGCAATTCATTCCCGCCAGGTCGCTAAGACCAAAGTGTTCCTACAGATAAAAGAAAAGACAGCACTAGTCACTTTGGTGTTGAATTCAAGGAGTAGCAAAGTGTTATTTTACTCCGCAGGGAGCAAAAGTCTATCAATGGACTTATTATGCTATTTATAGAAACTACTTGTGCAATTCAGTTGCATCTATGATATTTCATGTAAGGGTATGATAATATGAGGATTACTTTTTACTCTGTTCAACAAAAAGCTACTGATCCATTTCCTAAAATTGCCTTGAATTATCTTTTTCTTAGACATTAATTGATTTGAACAAACATGGGAAAATAATTGAACAGTTATAATTAAACTTCTCAAGTAGCAAGAAATGAAATGCACAATTATTAGCAAGACAGATTTAATGGCTATGTAATACACCCCAACACTTTGAGATGTAAAACTCTAACATCAAGTAGTAGCTTATTTCTATGGAGTGTGTTTCTTCAGAAGGGCCTCTGAAGAAAAAGGACTGCAAACTTTCAGTTCTGTTTTCCTATGGAAAAACCTAGGCAATAAAATATTAAGAGACTTTCCCAAGCTCATGGGTAGGGAGCTTAGGAGTAGGACCCAGGTCTCCAATTTTTGGATGAGAACTTCTCCATTGCAATCAGAAATCTGAGCCAGCACACTGTCACTGTGATTTAATGTAAGTCAGCTCTATGAGGAAATCCAGATTTTTACTGGAGTTTATAGCTACAATTTAGCCATATGGTAGCTTTCAAGACAGCCAAATTATAATTCAGCCACAAATAAGAGTACAGACTGTAAATAAAGCAGGGAAACTCTTATTTCTCTGATCTAAAGATAGAAAGCTCTAGGTTATTTAGATGAATATGTAGGATGCCACTTAGGATGCTAACACATATAACCTTTGTGGTTTAAGATTAAAAATAAATTCAAGCCCAGCCAGCACTGCTCAGTGGTTGAGCATCAACCTATTAACCAGGAGGTCACGGTTCAATTCCTGGACAGGGCACATGCCCAGGTTGTGGGCTTGACCCCCAGTGTGGGGTGTGCAGGAGACATCAATCAATGATTCTCTCTCATCATTGATGTTTCTCTCTTTCTCTCCCTCTCCCTTCCTCTCTGAAATCAATTAAAATATTTTTTTAAAATCACTAAGTAAATTCAAAGCCACTTCCTCATCAAGAAAAGTACCACTGTTTGCAAATTACTCAAAAGGCTTAAAACCAAAGTATAAAATACTATTATATTACATAAGAATGCATTTCATCATATTCAATGGAGAAATTTCTTTTTTTTTCTTTTTTTTAATATTTTATTGATTTTTTACAGACAGGAAGGGAGAGGGATAGAGAGCTAGAAATATTGACGAGAGAGAGACATCGACCAGCTGCCTCTTGCACACCCCCTACTGGGGATGTGCCCATAACCAACGTACATGCCCTTGACCGGAATCGAACCTGGGACCCTTCAGTCCGCAGACGGACGCTCTACCGCTGAGCCAAACCGGTCGCGGCTCAATGGAGAAATTTCAATAAACTGTTATAATAACCAAAGTAACAACAAAACACTACAAAAAAAAAAAAAAAGAAAAAGACTGGTTTAATTTTTTGTCCTTTTTTTCCTAAACTGGCCAAACTTCATGCACAAAGAGATACAGTTGGATATATACTTCTCTTCTTGATTTCAAGTCATCTAAAAATTTCCTTTCCAGAAATACAAACAGATTATAAACTGCTGCTGCCAATGCCTTTAAAAAAAAAATTCTTGTTGAATGCTATATATTTTACCATAAACTGATTCACAGGGTTTCATGAATGTGAATCATACTTACAAACTTATCATGCAATGTTTAAATTAAAACTTAGATTCAAAAATGCAAATGGCTTTTGCCAAATTCTGTAATAGCTCTATCCCAAAAGGATAACATGTTCAATTTAATATAAACAGATTATCCTCTGGACCTTTCTAGTATTTTAGTTGGAAGGTCTCTGAAAAGGCTAGCTTGAAATTACTTTTCTGTCAAAAATTCATTGCACAAACCTGCTTTTGCACATAAGTTATCAAACCAAAAAGGATGGCTTTGGGACCTGAAATTCTCAAAAGCAACACAAAACAACATGCATTATTTAGGTTGCCTTACCCATATGCTACAAAAGGCATGCTGCTATGAGGAAGATCAAATTGCATTTGCCAGGTAAATGCTTCCAAATACTGTAATTCCCAGTAACAGATATGACAAGTCAAATCTTTTGAAGGTTTAAAACCTTCCAATAACTTTTCCCATAAATTTTTACCATGTATCTGGGGGAAGGAAGGAAGGATGGAAGGAACAAAGGAAGGAAGAGAAGGAGAAACTCCAAGTCCAGAACCTATAATTAGAGACTACACATAAGAAATAAATGCAATGTGTTTCTGTGACAGGCCACTGAGCGCTGGGCCACTCACGACAAAGTTTCAGGTCAGACTGCCAGGCAATAAGGAATACAAGCTCTCTAAAACATGGATTTTAATAACAAAATTAATTGATTTAACAAATAAACTTTCTTTTTGTCCTTTACACTTTTTTACTTAGGAGAAAGGAAATGTTTTATTTTCTCATTCTTGTACACAACATTAGAGATGTTCAAAGTAATTATTCAAAGTTTCTAGAAAAATACTTTTTATTTTTTTATTTTTTTAATCAGAGAGGAAGGGAAAAGGAGAAAAAGATAGAAACATCAATGATAAGAGAATCACTGATGGGCTCTGCCTCCTGCATGTCCCCCATTGAGGATCAAGCGTGCAACCTGGGCATGTGCCCTTGACCAGAATCAAACCCGGGACCTTTCAGTCCTCAGGCCAATGCTCTATCCACTGAGCCAAACCTGCTAGGGTGGAAAATACTTATTCTAATAAATTTCACTACATTTTTGTAAGCCCACCTGATAATAATAGTAGTTACCATTTATTGAATATCTACTATACATCAAGCATTGTGTAATCCTTGCAACCACCCTGTTGAGATAGCAGTGACATCACTTTATAGATAACAGATCTGAGACTTAATATGTTAAATTAATGCAGCTGGAACTAAATGTGAATAATATTACTAGAATGTATCCTTCAAAAGAAAATTTGGAGGGGAAATTAAAAAAAAAAAAAAACAGAAACATGTCAGATGTACCTGACCTGTGAACAGCCACAGCTGTCCCTGTGAACACCACCCAGAAAAAGTCTTATCTACCTCATCCCCTGAAATATTTAAATTAGCAAAACAGAACAGAAACATTAGTTGGTATTAAAAGAGACAAAAATAATAGAGTAAATAAATCTTGATACAATCGCCATCACAGTCTCAAATGTTAGTAGGTGCCTTATAAACCAATTTACCTGAATTCCTTTAAATCCACATAGGAAATAGTTGTGCCACAGAGGCTTGGTTTTGTCGATCTGAATGTTGTTAGTACCAGTACTGAAGTCCCTGCAAAAACAAGACACATAACTATCAGGCCAGGCCTTGTGCTGCAAAATCAACGGCTGACTGCTGCCATCTTGTGCCCAGGCAGTGACACTGAAATCTCACCTCCCATTTATTTTCAATACAGTATATGCACTTCACGCCTACCCCAAAACAACCAACATCTCCAGCCGCTAAAAGTTAAGAGAAGTTATAGTGACCTTAATAACTAAACTACTTCCAACTGACCCTTCTTATTTCCTGAAACAGAGAGGATCAATATGTTTTAGCATAATCTATACCACTTTTTATTTCATGATGGTCCTTGTTATGCTAGTGTAAACCTTATCCTTTGGCCCTGCTGTTTGGCGCATTGATAGTTGGAATGGAAGCCTTCTTCCCCACACTCTCCGTCACCCATAGAATTTTATCATATGCACAGTTTAAGGAAAAGGGGAATAAATAAAACAAATGATTATTTTGATTATCATAACTCATTGAATAAAATAAGATGCCATAAATCTACACTGATATAAATTAACAAATGAATAGTTACATGAAGGAGAAGGGAAAGCACTTCCTTAGAATCAAATGCCAACTAATTAGATGTAGAAAAATGATAGAAATTTTAAAAAATCACTATTTGGCAAACTCCATGGTAACTGTTTCATGAAAGAATCAATGGATGCTAAAGTCACTGAGTAAAAACTTGATGAGATAAAATATACTTATATACACTCCAGGTATTTCCTCACCAGATATTATTTAATGGAGAAAAAAACTTGCCTGAGCTCAGCTGCTATAGCAAAAACTTGTTCTATAGCATCACATCCTGGGGGGAAAGGGCCTCTATTCACCAGTTATTTCTGCATTCATTGGCTGATTCTTTTTTTTTTTTTTAATATATTTTATTGATTTTTCACAGAGAGGAAGAAAGAGGGATAGAGAGCAAGAAACATCGAGAGAGAGAGAGAATCATTGATCAGCTGCCTCCTGCAAACCCCCCACTGGGGATGTGCTCACAACCAAGGTACATGCCCTAGACCGGAATCGAACCCAGAACCCCTCAGTACACAGGCCAACACTCCATCCACTGAGCCAAACCAGTTCTGGCTCATTGGCTGATTCTTGTATGTGCTCTGACTGGGGATTGAATCCACAACCTTAGCATATCAAGATGATGTTCTAACCAACTGAGCTAGCTGGCCAGGGCCTCCTTGTTGACTTTATGTCTGAAGGCTCTATCCAGTGGTGCAGGTTGGGTGTTAAAGTTGCTTACATTATTGTAGTGCTATCAATTTCTCCCTTGAAGCCTGTCAATAGTTGCTTTATATATTTTGGTGCTCCTGAGTTAGGTGCATATATATTAATAAATGTTATATCTTCTTGATGTCCTCCTTATTACATAATGTCCATTTTTACCTTCTCATTACTAATTCTTTTGGCTTGAAGTCTGTTTTTCCTTAAGTATGGCTACACCTGCTTTCTTTTGGATGCCATTTGCTTACAGCAGTGGTCGGCAAACAGTGGCTTGCGAGCCACATGCGGCTCTTTGGCCCCTTTAGTGTGGCTCTTCCACAAAATGCCATGGCCTGGGTGAGTCTATTTTAAAAAGTGGCATTAGAAGAAGTTTAAGTTTAAAAAATTTGGCTCTCAAATTTCAATCACTGTACTGTTGATATTTGGCTCTGTTGACTAATGAGTTAACCACAGGCTTAGAGTATCATCTTCTGCCCCTGTCTTATTTTTCTGCCCAGCCTTTTCCTAAGGTTCAAAAACAGGCACTCATTTCCCACCAACATTTTTCCCTGCATTACCTCACCCATCTGCTTTCTCCATTCTTATACCCATGTTATAGAATACTAAGAAAAACGTCTTCAAAATGAGCAGACATGACTCACTTTCCACTTACACATTTTTTAAAAATATATATTTTATTGATTTTCCACAGAGAGGAAGGAAGAGGGATAAAGAGCTAGAAACGTCGATGAGAGAGAAACATCGACCAGCTGCCTCCTGCACACCCCCTACCAGAGATGTGCCCGCAACCAATGTACATACCCTTGACCGGAATCGAACCTGGGACCTTTCAGTCCACAGACCAACGTTCTATCCACTGAGCCAAACCGGTTTCAGCCTCTTACACATTTTACTCATTCATTCACCTGTTCTTCCAACAAACATTTGACCAGTGTCTACCCTACTTGTGTCAGGAACTAGGTTGGACCATTTACAAGAACAATATTATCAAAAAAGTAAATACTTAGCCCCAGCAGTTTGACTCAGTGGAGACAACTGACTAAAGGGTCCCGAGTTCAATTACAGTCAAGGGCACATATCTCGGGTGCAAGCTCCTCCTCAGCCCAGGCCCTAGTCGGAGTGTGTGCAGGAGGCAACCAATCAATGTGTTTCCCTCACATCGATGTTTCTCTCTCTCTTTCCCTCTCTTCCACTCTCTCTAAAAATCAATGGAAAAATAACCTCAGGTGAGGATTTAAAAAAAAAAAAAAAAAAAAAGGTAAATACTGAGGGGAAAATTTAACAAATCATGTACCTTCAAAACAACAAAATACTTTTGAGCAAAAATGAAGACCTACATAAATGAAGAGAAATACTGTGTTCATGAATTAAAAGAATAAATACTATTAAGATGTCAATTCTTTCCAAATTGATTTATACATTCAGTTTAACCCTAATAAAAATTCAAGCATGCTTTCTCATAGAAATTGAATACCTAATTCTAAAATTAATGAAAAAATGCAAAAGATCTATTATAGCAAAAACAAATTTTAAAAAGACAAAATTAGAAGATTTACACTACCTGAGTTCACAGGGCTTCTTACAAAGCTACAGTCTTCAGACACTGTGTTATTAACATAAAGATGCACAAATATATCAATAGAACAGAATAGAACCTAGATATATATCCCTACGTATATTACCAATTGCTTTTCTAGATAATTCAATGGAAAAAAATAATTTTTCCAATAAATGGTGGGAAACAATTGGACAGCCACAGGCAAACACAAAAACCTCAGCCTTTATTGCATGCCACATACAAAAGTTAACTCAAAATGAATCATAGACCTAAATATAAGAACTAAAATTTTAAGTTTAATGACTGGGGAAAAGTTTAATGACTTTTGGTTTTAAAAAGGTTTCTTAAATGCAGTCAAAAACTACAAATTCAATAAGTAGGCCTGAAAAAATCAATAATTAGGACTTCATCAAATTTAAAAACTTTTCTTCTTCAAACTCCACAGTAAAGAAAATGAAAATTCAAGTCACAGATTGGATGAAATATTCTGCAAAACATACATCTAACAAAGAACTTGTATCTACAATATATTAAAAAACTCTTATAGATTACACATCAATAATAGATGATGAAAAAACTACTTTAAAATGGGCAAATTATTTGGACAGACCATTAATCAAATAAGATATATAGATGACAAAAATATATGAAATAATGTTCAATATCACTAGAGAAATTAAAAACCACAATGCACTACTACTATACATTTATGAGAGTGGCTAAAATTTAAAGACATGTTAGCAAGGATGTGGATCAATTGGAACTCTCATACACTGATGGTGGAAATGGAAATGTTACAACCACTTTGGAAAATAGGCAAATTTTTTGAAAAGTTAAACCAGACAGTCCAGCCCTATGTATTTACCCAAGAAAAATGAAACACATGTCCACACATAGATTTGGACACAATTATTCTTAGCAGCATTATTCATAACTAGAGTCCCAGTGCACTAAATTCATGCATGGGTAGGGTCCCACCTGGCTGACAATCAGGACTGATCTGTGGGTCGCTAGTCACTGTCTGTGGGGTGACCGGTGGGGCGATCAGGACCCCATATGCACCCGCTTTGGCCTGGCGTCACCTGCTCGCTGACCCAACCCCCTACCGCCACTGCCAGTTGCCATCTGTGGGGCAACTGGTAGGGCCATCAGCAAGGTGACTGGGGCCCCCACTCACACCCGCCTTGACCTGGGGCCACCTGTTCACTGGCCCTGCCCTCCTCCCTCCTTCCCCCGACCTCACCCACTCCACCACTGACGAAGGTCAGTGCACTTCTAACTCCCAATCATTGGAACTCCCTTCCATTGGGAAAATTTGCATATTGGCTTTTTATTATATAGGATAGCCAAAAACTGGAAATGATCTAAGTGCCCATCAATGGTGAATAGATAAATTATGGTATCTCCATGCAATGAATGCTACACAACATGTGAAGAATTCTGGGAGACATGCTGCATACTCCCTAGGGTCCTACTAGACTAAAGCCCCTTATCCTCAGCAGAGAATACTTGTCTTGATAATTTACCTCTGCTTCCCTAACTCATTCTCTATGCTGTTTCACTACCACTCCTGGAATCATTTACCAATACTCCACCTTCATCCAAGTCTGTCTCAGGCTTTGTTTTTGTGAAAAAAATAAATCTGAAACCACATATTTATAGCAATGGGAATTGTTAAGTGAACTGGACTAAATAAATATGACAAATTATTATGCACCCAATATTAAATATTTGCAAACAATGACACAAAATTGTGTTTGAGATAATGTAAGGTTTCTCTCTAACGGGTCCAAAATGTATGTAAGATATATTCTCAGTTATGCAAAGTAAATAGAAAATAAAAGGATCCTATACAATAAGTTCCATACAAAGGTAAGGAATTTCTATATCTTGTACAACCTGGTATAATGCCTTTTCAAAGTCTCACATAAAATAACTGCAGAATAAACATAACTGCAGGCAAATTGTCCAATGAACAATAAGCCAAAAATATAATGTGCCAATTATATGCCAATTTTTTTTTGTACTTAGCAAGTCAAATCCATCATAATATATTATTAGCAAGTAGGTCTCATCTCTGGAATAAAAAGACAGTTCAATATTTAAAAGTCATCAATATAATTCATATTTTTTAAAAATGATCAATATTGAGTAGATATTTAATAAAATTCCATACCCATCAATTATTGTTTTTAATCTTAGCAAACTGAGAATTAAAAACAATCCTTTTTAAAAAGACGGTGCCTAAAGCAAGGAAGGACACCCCTACCCCTCCCAAAGCTAAAGCAAAGGTTTTGAAAACAAAGAAAGGCATCCACAGACACACAAAAAAAAGATCCTCACGTCACCCACCTTCCAACAGCCAAAGACACTGAGGCTCTGAAGGCAGCCTAAAAATCCTTGGAAGAGTGCACCCAGAAGAAACAAGTTTCACTGCTATGCCATCATCAAACTCCCCCTGACTGCACATCAGCCACAAAGAAGACAGAAGAGAATGGTACACTTGTGTTCATTGTGAACATCGAGGCCAAGCACCAGATCAAACGGGGTGAAGAAGCTCTGTGACATTGATCAGGCCTGATGGAGAGAAGAAGGCATATGTTCGACTGGCTCCTGACTATGATGCTTTGGATGTTGCCAACAAAATTGGGGTCATCTAAACTGAGGTCAGCTGCCTAATTCTAAATATAAAAATTTTGCACTGTAAAAAGAAATTAAAAGATATAAAAAATAATAGCAACAACAGAAAGTATATTCTTAACTTAATTAAAGCATATATACTAGAAAGTTAAACCTATTATATACTACTCTATGTTTGACACTGAGGCTGCAGCACTGAAGAAGTGTGGCAACAGTACCTGAATTCACAAAGCTTATAATTACTGGGGGATAGAGACAAGTAAGCAGCTAATGGCAATACAGCATGGTAAAATGTTATGACAAGAGAATCAGAAGGTGCCTTAGTAACGTAAGAAAGGCACCAGCTCTGATTTTCCTGGAGATAATTACCGCATTAGATGATGAATAACTTCTAGGCAGGTACAGAGTTATTTTCATCTTTGTATTGCTCAGTATCTAAAATAACGTCAGACACATGATAAATCTTCAGTAAATATTTCTCTTTTTTATCTTCATTGTTCAAAGTATTACAGATGTCTCCTCTTACCTCCTCCTCCACTGCCCCCATCCACCCAGTTCGCAACCCACCCGATGACTTCACTACTCTATTTTCTGTGTCCATAGGTAATGCATATCCTATATAATAAAAGGCTAATATGCAAATCGACCAAATAGCAGAAGGACAAGTCAATATAATATGCATTGACCACCAGAGGCAGATGCTCAATGCAAGAGCTGCCCCCTGCTGATCAGTGAGCTCCCACAGGGGTTGCGTCACTCAGCCAGAATCTGGGCTCACAGCTAGTGTCCACAGCTGTGGTGGTGGGAGCCTCTCATGCCTCTGCAACAGCACTAAGGATGTCCCCTGAGGGCTCTAGGACTGTGAGAGAAGGCAGGCCTGGCTGAGGAAACCCCTCCCCAACCCCCCGAGTGCACAAATTTCATGCACTGGGCCTCTAGTATGTAGATAAGATTTTTGGTTAACATCTTTCTGCCCAACCTCCCCCCATCCCTCTGAGATTGTCAATCTGTTCTATGTTTCCATGCCTCTGGTACTATTTTATTCATCAGTTTATTTTTTTCATTAGATTGTTTCTTTTGATTTTTAGATTCAATTGTTGATAGATATGTATTTATTGCCACTTTTTTTTTTTAATCTTTTTCTTCTCCTTCTCCTGCTCCTCCTCCTTCTTCTTCCTCTGCTTAAAGAATACCCTTCAACAGTTCATGTAGCCAAAACTGGTTTGGCTCAGTGGATAGAGTGTCAGCCTGCAAAATGAAGGGTCCCAGCTTCGATTCCAGTCAAGAGATGTACGTTGGTTGCGGGCACATCCCCAATAGGAGGTGTGCAGGAAGCAGCTGATTGATGTTTCTCTCTCATCAATGTTTCTAATTCTCTATCTATCTCCCTTCTCCTCTGTAAAAAATCAATAAAATATATTTTTTTAAACACAATAGTTCATGTAATATCCATATGGTGGTTTAACTCCTTTAGCTTTTTCTTGTCTTTGAAGCTCTTTATCTGACCTTCAATTCTAAATGATAGCTTTACTAGGTAGAGTAATCTTGGTTGTATGTCTCTGCTATTCATTACTTTGGATATTTTTTGCCACTGCCTTCTGGCCTGCAAAGTTGAGAAATCACCTGACAAGAATATGGGAACTCCCTTGTAGGTAACTAACTATTTTTCTCCTACTGTTTTTAAGATTTTCTCTTTGTCTTTAACCCTTGGCATTTTAATTCTGATGTGTCTTGGCCTCTTTGGGTTAATCTTGATTGGGCCTCTCAGGCTTCCTGAACTTGTAGACCTATTTTTTCACCACGTAGGGGAAGTTTTCTTTCATTATTTCTTCAAATAGGCTTTTAATATCTTGCTCTCTCTCTTCTCCTTCTGGTACTTCCATAATGCAAATGTTGGTACATTTAAAGTTGTCCCAGAGGCTCCTTACACTATCTTCATATTTTTGGATTCTTTCTTCATTTTGCTCTTCTGACTGTTTTTTGTTTCTTCATATTCCAACTCATTGATTTTATTCTCAGAATCCTCTACTCTATTGTTGAATGCCTGTAAATTATGTTAGTGCATGTTTAATTTCTGACATAATTCCTTTTTCATGTCTTTGAACTTCTCACTAAGATCCTTGGAAGTCTCACTAAATCTGCTGAAACTCTCATTAAGATCCTTGAATGACATTATAGCATTGTTTTAAACTCTGTATCCAGTAGTTTGCTTGCTTCCATTTCATTTATTTATTTTTCTGGAGATTTCTTCTGTTCTTTCATTTGTGATATGTTTCTTTATCTTCATAGTTTGGCTGCTTCCGTGTGTTTGTTTCTATGTATTTGTTAGAACTGTTATGTCTCCTGGAATTGGTAGAGTGGCCTTGTGTAGTAAGTGTACTGTAGGGCCCAGTGGCTCAGCCCCCCCAATCACCTAAGCTGGGCACTCTAGGCATGCCCCTATGTGAGCTATGTGCATAGTCTTGAAGTTGAGCCTTGTAGTTGATGCTGTTAGCATCACTCAGAAGAGCTGACCTTGAGACCAATTGGCTGTAAGAACCAGCAGCATCTACAATGGAAGAGCTAATATGCAAGAGATACCCCTGTGGAGCAGGCCTTGCTTCAGCGGGGCTTTGGTGCTCACTGAGTCTGCCCCTTGAGTGTGTCATTTGTGAAAGTGCAGAGCTGTAATCTGATATGGTCTGAAGCTGTCCACCAGGGGCCTCCTGAGAGGAGCCACCCAGCAGAAGCTACAGAGCAATCAGCAGATGGCTGCTACTTGTGTTGGGCTTGGAAGTGCTCAGGTGAGGCCAAAATATAAAGCAAGACATGCTGTCACTAGTTCTAGGTTTTGGGCCTCTTATTGATAGGTAAGGGCACAATGACATGCTAGCTAGCTGCTGCTTGTTTGAGAGATTTTAGGAAAGTCTGAAGCCTGAGCCAGGACAGGCTGTTCATATGGAAAAGCCGCTGCAAATAGCTTGGTTGTGGCAGTCTGGATGTACTTTCTTCTTTACTTCTCTAGCTGTAGGACTTCTATTCAGCCAGATTTCAGGAGGATCTGAATGATGGCTGTTCTGTATTTTAGTTGTAATTTTGATGTGATTATGGGAGATGGTGAGTACCAACATTTACCTATGCTGCCATCTTGGTTTTCCTCCTTCAGTAAATACTTCCTTTTTTATTGTTGTTAATTCTCACTCAAGGATATTTTTCCATTGGTGTTTACAAAAAGTGAAATAGAGGGGGAGAGACAGAGAGAGATAAACATCCTTATGTGAGAGACACATCAATTGGTTGCCTCCAGCACATGCCGCAACCAGAGCCAGGAATTGAGCCTGTAACTGAGGTATATGCCCTTGACTAGAATATGTAGTCTGTGAGTCAAAGCTCTATCCACTGAGCCAAACCAGCTAGGGCCAGTAAATATTTCTTAAATGAATGAGAGAACAAACAAAATAAACAAATATTAAATAGTAGCCTTAGATTCTTTTGCAAGTCAGATACAAATTTTCAATAAGCTAAATCATTTATTATAAAGTTGATAGCTCCTAAAGATTCATTTGGATATAAACACACACACACACACACACACACACACACACACACACACACACGTGCATGCATACAACATAGTACCAATCCTAAATACTCACGGGTACAAGGGATTTGTATTAGCCAGTTGGAGAGTGTGTGTTTTCACAGGTTCCACAGCTATTAACATATCTTGTTCTACAGCCATAGGAAGCACAGAATATCCACAGTAATCTATATGTTCTCCTAGGAAAAAAAGAAAGCATGTTTCATCATTGAAAACATACAACAACACAAAAGAAGCAAGCACAAGATGACACTGAGGAAAAAAATTTGACCACAAGCTAGGTTTTTACAGAAAATAAATACTATGGGAAGAAACTGATGGGGGTTTCCTTTTCTCCCAGACATCTGAGCCAGAAACTACTGCTAGCAGAAGTATAATAGTTATTATATTTTCTATCAATTTTAGACTTCTTTAAACATTTGTAAGTTTTTTTCCATTTTTTAATTCATAATGAATACTTTCAAATAACTGTGAAGCATCAAAAGCACTATTCTTTTTTCTGTTGTTTTTTGTATCAACTTTTAAAATATGAATGATTGACGCCTTTAGTACTCTCTCCCTCACATTAACATTATGTGAGTCCTATTTTCTTCCTTACTAACGAATGAGATCACCAAAGGTGAGGGCTTTGCTTTATTTTTCTTTGTGGTCTAACCAAATGCCTTACAAATTATACTGGCACTGGTAAATTGTGTTGAATATGCTCCATATAGCTATGATAGCTATGATAAAGAAAAATAAACTAGAAAAATAATATTTATCCTGTATTACTTTATATATAGTAAGACAATATAGGAAGTAAACTATTCTTTTAATTCTAATTCTTCCATGAAACACCAGGAAGAATTTTTTTTCTGTTATACCATAATGTCTTCAGATTATCACTTAAATTCAAGGTTGTTACACATAACATTTAACTACAAAATAACAATTCAAGAAGGTGGGCTAAGCAAGCTCATTTATATTTCCCCATAGCAGGTTTTTTTGTTTTGTTTTGTTTTGTTTTATTGATTTCAGAGAGGAAGGGAAATGGAAAGAGAGATAGAGAAATCAATGATGAGAAAGAACCATTGATCGGCTGCCTCCAGCACAACCCACACTGGAGCCTGCAAACCCAGGCATGTGCCTAGACCGGGAATTGAACCAGGACTTCCCAGGTCATAGGTCTATGCTCAACTACTGAGCCATGCCGGCCGGGCCCCGTACCAGATTTTTATATCTAATTGCTCCTATGTCAGACATTGAACAACTGAGAAATGCAAAATGAATGGAAGGCAATTCAATTCCATAATCATATTTTTTAAAACAAATATTATTTTACATGTTCTTACAGATAACAAGCCTTTTCTTTGTACATTGATATGTCCTTTAAAATAATAAAACAGACTTCTGGTCAAGATGGCAGAGTTCTTCCAAAACCACATAAAAAATACAACTAAACTACAGAACAACCATCATTCAGAACCACCTGAAATCTAGCTAATTGGAAGTCCTACAGTTAAGAATATAAAGAAGAAGCCATATTGAGACTGTTAAGAACAAAGGAGACACAGAACAAGCTGTTCCCATACCCACATATGGCAAATATATAAAAATCAGGAGGAATATCTCAGCTGTGGAAGTTCCCATTAAGGATTGATGGGTTCCAGCTCCACAGCAGACCCCCTCAGCCCAGGGTTCCAGTGCCAGGTAGAAGATTCCCCATAACTCCTGGCTGTAAAAACCAGTAAAGATTGTGGCTAAGACCAAGGGTGGCTGGAGTCCCAGGCAGTTCCTCTTAAAGGGCCCACATATGAACTTACTCAGACTCACTCCCTCTGAGTTCCAACAGTGGGGCAGCAGCCTGAAAGGCACCAAAGACATATTTGGAGGAACTGAAGTGTCTGGCATCAGGAACAGAGCTGGAGGGACAGTTTTCTCCAAGACAGAAGTACTGGTAGAAGCCACTGTTCCTTTTCTGAGCCCTTCTCCCACAGAGCCGACATGTAGGCACCATATTTGAGACCCCACCAACCTGTGGGCCCACCCAAGCTGTTTCCAGTGACTTTTCCATACAAATGACCTGTCTTGGCTGATTCTTCAGACTTTCCTAAAATCTCTCAAATAAGCAGTGCTGGCCTCAGTATGCCCTGTACATCTCACTAACTGGTTCCAGGCCTAGCACTAGTGACAAGCTGGCTTAGGGTCCAAACTTGGCCTCTTTTGGGAACCGCAAAGCCAAGAACAAGTAATGGTCATCTGCAGTTGGATTTGTAGCTCATGCTGGGTGGCCTCAGGCAGAACACAGATGGTGGCTGACCTTGGCCTGCACCTCCTGGGAGGCCCCAAAGCCAGAGCACCCAATGAACAGCTTCAGACACATCAAAGCACCACCAACCACCTCCACAAGCAACTTAGCAGGCACTTCAGACCTGCTGAAGTAAGTCCTGCTTGGTAGGATGGGCCCCTGCATAGTCTATCTTTCACAGTGGTCCCTGGCAGTCTTTATATCCAGTCTTCATAGCCATCCCTCCCATTGACATGCCAACAACAATCAAGGCTCAACTGTATCAGGGGGGTGTACACAGCCCACACTGAGGGATGCACCTGGAATGCTCACCTCAGATGAAGGGAGAGGCAACAGCACTGGATCCTACTGGATACCTACTACATTAGGCCACTCTACCAAGCCTGGGAGATATAGCAGCTCTAGCTAATATATAGAAACAAACACAGGGAGGCTGCCAAAATGAAGAGAAAAGGAAACACATCCCAAAAGAACAGAACAAAACTCCAGAAAAAGAACTAAACAAAATGGAGACAAGCAATCTACTAGATGCAAAGTTCAAAATACTGGTTATAAGTATGCTTGAAGAACTCAGAGATATGGAAGCCATTTTTAAAAAGTCAGAAATGAAGAAAACATTAACTGAAATGAAGAATAATTCAGAGGAAATCAACAATAGAACACTGAGAATCAAAACAGCAATTTGACATATAAGGTGTCCCAAAAACTTTATACACACTTTACAGCTTCTAGCTCAATTGACATTTTTTCCTTTTCAGATTTAATCCATTGGAATTAATAATTATTCAAAGTGTGTATACATTTTGGGGGGACACCATGAATAAGGAAGCAAAAGTCATCCAATCAGAACAGAAGAAAAAAAAGAATCCAGAAAAATGAGGACAGTATGAGAAGCCTCTGGGACAACTTCAAGCATACCAACATTCATAGCATGAGGATGCCAGAAGTAGAAGAGAGAGAGCAAGAAATTGGAAACCTATTTGAAAAAATAATGACAGAAAATTTCCCTAACCTCATGAAGTAAATACACACACAGGTCCAGGAAGCACAGGGAGTTCCACATAAGAGGAACCCAAAGGGGACCACAACAAGACACATAATAATCAAAATGCAAAAGGTTAAAGATAGAGTCTTGCCGAAACTGGTTTGGCTCGGTGGATGGAGCCTCACCCCGCGGACTGAAAGGTCCCGGGTTCAATTCCAGTCAAGGGCATGTAACTTGGCTGCGGGCACATCCCCAGTAGGGGGCGTGCAGGAGGCAGCTGATCAATGATTCTCTCTCATCGATGTTTCTGGCTCTCTGTCCCTCTCCCTTCCTCTCTGTAAAAAATCAATAAAATGTATTTTAAAAGACAGAGAGAGAGAGAGAGGGAGGGAGAGAGAGAGAGAGAGAGAGAGAGAGAGAGAGAGAGAGTGTGTGTTAAAAGCAGCAAGAGAAATCCAGTAATTACCTACATGGGAAAAATTTGCAGGTCAGAAGAGAGTGGCAAGAAATATTCAAACTGATAAAAAGCAAGAACCAACAACCAAGATTATCCAGCAAAGCTGTCATTTAGAATTGAAGGACATATAAAGAGCTTCCCAGGCAAGGAACAACTAAAGAAGATCATTGCCACCAAACCAGGATTACAAGAAATGCCAAAAAGTCTTCAGGGAGAAGAAAGAGAGGAGGAAGAGGAAGAAGAGGAGGAGGAGGAGGGCAAGGAGGAGAGGAAGAAGAAGAGGAGGAAAAGGGAGAGGAGGAGGAAAAGGAGGAGGAGGAGGGGAAAAATACGAACAATAAAATGGCAATTAATACATATCTATCAAGAATTAAATCTAAAAAACAAAATAAACAAACATGCAGAAAAGAAAAAAAGTTTTAATAAAAATAATAAAATAAAAAGTAATAAAAATAAAGGGCTTTTCCTCAATTGACAATGACCAATAGAGAAGTGATTTTCAATGTTATCTTTCTCCCCAACTTCCTTCAAGAAGATAATAATACAAAACAATGGTTCACAAGTAAAAAAAAAAAAAAAAAAAAAACTATGTATTTAAAGAAATGGAACTGCATGGAGGCACCAAATTCTGTTGGGAAAGCTGCAGTGTGGATGAGAGCCTTCTGTCAAGAATTATGGAAATCCTCTGGGTAAGGAGCAGGTGGGGAGCAGGAACTGCTGGCAAGTAGGATAATAAGACAATTACATTCTGCATATTTTAACAGAAAATATAATGTTTTTAATAAGCACTGAAATTCATTTCATCCCAAGCATTAACTAAATTAACCACATTGAGACATAATATCCCCCTCCCTTTTTTAAATCAGAAAATAGTCAATAAATTTACTAGAATAAGAATTACTTATCAGTAGACACAGCTGATCCTCACAGCCAACTGGCCTGGAGCTCAGTTCCCCCCCCAGTGATACCAACAACAATTAAGACTTAACTACAAAAGGCTGTACACACAGTCCACAAAGGGGTGCACCAAGAGTGTCTACCTCAGATAACTGGGAGGCTGACCCATTGAACCATATAGGACACCTTAACACACAAAGCCACCCTACCAACTCAGGGAAGCAGCAAAAATGCCGAGACAAGGAAACAGATCACAAATGAAAGAAATGGAGGACAAAAAGCAACTGGATATAGAGTTCAAAACCACACTTATAAGGTTTTTCAAGAATATCCTAGAAAAGGCGGATAAAATAAATGAGACCTATGAGGATATGAAAAGGGATCAACTAGAAATAAAGAATACATTGTCTGAAATAAAAAATATTATACAGAGTCCTAAAAACAGAATGGAAGATCACAAGAATCAAGTCAAAGATTTGGAACATAAAGAGCCAGAGGACACTCCTCCACAGAAGCAAGAAGACAAGAGAATCCAGAAAGTTGAAGATAATGTAAGAAAACTCTGGGACAACTTCAAACGAACCAACATCAGAATTATGGGGGTCCCAGAAGATGACAGAGAGCAAGATACCAAAAACATATTGAAAGAAATAGTGAAAGAAAACCTTCCCCCACCTGGAGAAAGAATTAGACTTACAAGTCCAGGAAGCCACAGAACCCGAAACAAAAGGAATCCAAAAAGGACCACACCAAGACATATCATAATTAAAATTCCAAGAGCAAAAGACAAAGAGAGAATATTAAAAGCAGCAAGAGAAAAGCAGGTAATTACCTATAATGGAGCACCCATACGATCGTCAGCTGATTTCTCAACAGAAACCATGCAGGCCAGACAGGAATGGCAAGAAATATTCAAGGTGATGAATAACAAGACCCTACAGCCAAAAATACTCTACCCAGCAAAGCTATCACTGAGAATCAAAGGCCAGATAAAGAGCTTCTCAAATAAATAAAAAAAAGCTAAAAAAGTGCATCACCGCCAAACCAGAATTATATGAATTGCTGAAGGGGGTTCTTTAGGAAGAGGAAGAAAAAAAAGATAAAAATTATGAACAACAAATATGTAACTATCAACAAGTGAATCTAAAAACCAAGGGAATTAAAAAACCTGATGAACAATATTAACTGTTGAATATAATAGAATCAGAGGTATGGAAGGGGAGTGGACTGACAATTCTCGGGGAAAAAGGAGTGGGGGTACGGGAAGAAACTGAACATAAACTGTGCACCTATGGATGAGGACAATGCAATGGGGGGTGAGGAATGGGCAGAGGGTGGGGTGGGAACCTGGTGGAGGGGGTAAAAATGAGGAACTTTTGTAATAATATGAAAATTAAAGTTGTTTTTTTTTTTAAAGAATTACTTATTAGGAAAATCCTTAGTTTTGAAACTTTACCCACAAAACTAAAGAAAGCTTGGCTCTGATCTGAAGCTACTGCTTCTTTTCAGTCCTTTCAAGATTTCAAGTTGTTATTCTCCCACTCTGCTGTTTCCAGGTCTTTTTCCTGTCCTGTTCTTCGGATGCTTGACCACATTCTCTCCTCCTCATCATTCTCATCTATGACCTCTTAGATTCTCAGTTCTTCAGTGAAGACCTTAGCATCTCCTTCCATCCCAATCCTGCTATAACCGACATAAAATTCAGATAAACAACCCAGTCTAAGGCCCCACTTCCTAATTCCTTGACCTCTGGAAAACCGCACCTCCTCCCTGCCTCAGCCATCTATTTACTCCCATGGTTTTGACTATTTTAGTAATGCCCAAACACCTTCTTATCACCTGGAACTTTTCTGCCTATGAAGTTTTAATTTCAAATACCATATTCTTTACTAACACCATCCTGCTTTCCTGTTTTCCAGACTCAGCTCTTTGGCCTCTCAACCCTATAAATTCCCTACTACCTTTATTGTTTTTTCTACTCAGCACAGATTCCAGGGTCCATATCATCAACATCCTAATGTCACTGCCATTCTCTTGTAACCTCCATATGAAGAAGAAAAAAAAAATCTAGAACAAACAGAAGCAACTTAGACCAGCTGAAAAGAAAAAAAAAAAAAAAAAATGAAAACTCTGAATAGCAGTATTGCTATAATTCTTTGGTCTCCAGGTCTAGCCAGACCTCAATGTTCTCAGCAAACCTTTTGTTTTTCCAGTCATCTCCCTCTCCCATCCTTCCTCCCAAGGCTATTTCATATTTTCTGCCTTCTCCTTAAACTTACAACTCCTCCCACCCATAAAAACTCCCTCAACCTTTTATGCAAAAATTATATATTTACCTACATCAACCTGTATCCTTTTCTTCCTTGCCTTCTGTTAAAAAGAGTCAAGGAGACCCTCTTCCTATGCTCTAGATACCAGCCCTCTTGCCCTCTAGGGAATTCTGCTCCATCAGTTCCTCTCTTTTCAATCTCTCTCCCCACTGGATTTAATCCGTTGCCCCTCCCCCCTCATTTAAACATCCCATATTTTTTTATATCTCTATTATTTGCTTTGAAGTAAAATAAGATCACCTAAGTTAATAATAATTAAAGCTATTGGGTACGTGGGAATTTATTCTATTACTAGAGACCCAGTGCATGAAATTCGTGCACTCAGAGGGGTCGTCCCTCAGCCTGGTCTGTGCCCTCTTGCAGTCAGGGAGCCCTTGGGGATGTCCGACTGTAGACAGGGAGAGGGCCTAAGCTGGCAGTCAAATATCCTTAGTGCTGCCACAGAGGTGGTAGAGGCTGCCACCACTGCAGCCACCACTGCAGCCGTGCTTGCCAGCTGTGAGCCCAGCTTCTGGCTTAGCAGTGCTTCCCCTGTGGGAGCACACTGACCACCAGAGGCAGCTCCTGCATTGAACATCTGTCCCCTAGTGGTCAGTGCGTGTCATAGCCATTTGGTCAATTTGCATATTAGCCTGTTATTATTTAGGATGCCAATTACTTTTTTGTATGTTTTCACTTTTCTTTTCTTTTTAAATATATATATATATTTTTAAAATATATTTTATTGATTTTTTACAGAGAGGAAGGGAGAGAGATAGAGAGCTAGAAACATCGATGAGAGAGAAACATCGACCAGCTGCCTCTTGCACACCCCCTACTGGGGATGTGCCCGCAACCAAGGTACATGCCCTTGCCGGAATTGAACCCGGACCTTTCAGTCCGCAGACCAACGCTCTAACGCTGAGCCCAACCGGCTTCGGCTTCACTTTTCATTTTATAAGTGTTTTTTTTAATCCTCCTTTGACTCCTGAAGTTTTCTCAGTTCTCCATCCTATTTTCTCTCAATAAAAACAAATCATTCTCACAAGAAGACGGCCACTGTTCCAGTTTTATATATTATGGCATTCTAGCACATGTTGGTATTCAATAACTATTGGTAAAATGAATATCATCAAATCTCATGCCGCATTGTTTAAATATGACTTCAACTGGATAGGGAGCTGCATAAGTTTCCTGTTGTGGATGGAAAAGGAGCTTCTACAGAAAGTAATCTTGCAGGGTGATCTGACCATAAATTCCTAATTGGGCAGGCTATGGTTGGTAGTCATGTCCCAGGCATATATCTTCTTTAGGAAAAGGTTTATCTTTGCCTTAAACAAGCCCTGTCCATTGTTTCTGTGCATCTACGTTAACACCTTTGAAGATGGCCCCTCAGAACCCTCCTTTTAAAGCTTGAGTTTAGCCGAAACCAGTTTGGCTCAGCAGTAGAGCGTTGATCTGCGGACTGAAAGGTCCCAGGTTCGATTCCAGTCAAGGGTATGTACCTTGGTTGCGGGCACATCCCCAGTAGGGGGTGTGCAAGAGGCAGCTGGTCGATGTTTCTCTCTCATCGACATTTCTAGCTCTCTATCTCTCTCCCTTCTTCTCTGTAAAAAATCAATAAAATATATTTTAAAAAAATAAAATAAAATAAAACTTGAGTTTAACTGTCCTGTACTCCCCTGAATTGCTTTCTCCCACCTTCATGTAACATTTCTAATTTTCCTTCTTTAATCTCAAATGTATAAAAGAAACTGCAAAATCTTCTCCCAAGTATTTGTGATCTTGCTCCTGGCACATGTTGTTAGTGTGGCTCAAATAAACTCTTTTAAATAAGTGTTTTAAAAAGAATCATTCTTCAGGCCACCAAATAATTAAAAGCAAGGAATTAGACCTAGCCAACTTGGCTCAGTGGATAGAGCATCAGCCTGTGGACCAAAGGGTCCCAGGTTCGATTTCAGTCAAGGGCACATACCTCAGTTGCAGGCTCCTCCCAGCCTGGGCCCAGGTCAGGACGTGTGCAGGAAGCAACTAATCAATGCATTTCTCTCACATGGATGTTTCTCTCTGTCTTTGCCTCTCTTCCACTCTCTCTAAAAAATCAATGGAAAAATATCCTCAGGTGAGGATTAATAACAAAAATAAAAAAATAAAATAAAAATGAGGAATTACAGGATTTCCAGTATTCTTCTACTACAATGAGTAAACATAAAATCATCAAAATTACTCACAGTCTAAAAATGTAACCTGCAGCACAGAAAAATATTTTCATTCTTATGAAACAACATTAACAGCTAGTTTCAACAAATTTATAAATTTTTTAAATGAATGGGAAAAATTAACATTAATAACATGAATTGGGAAAGATGAAAGTATAGTGTGGTTTCTTATATAAAAGCTTATCTTGCTAGAGTAGGTATATGTGAAATATTCTTTTTTTTTTTCAGTTCTCAGAAAAAAGTAAGAAAATAATGTAGTAAAAAAAAACTTGGATCTTATCAAAGTAGGAAAAATATTAGAGAAGGAACTTTTGAAATACCTATTATGTTGACCCTTCCTGGTGCCCGAACATAGAACTTGGGAATGGATCCAAACTTAGAGTTAAACATCTCCTTTAGCTTTAGCAATCTGAAAACAGGAGTAGAATGTGTCAGAATATCCACATAATAGAAAAATCCATAAAATACATATGTGCAAACATATTTCATATACCTATCATCATTAGTTACCCTTAAAAAGTAAAAAAAAAAAATAAATAAAATAAAAAATAATAAAAAGCAAATCTTTTACTGAGATACTTCCTTTAGAACCCCAGGAATAACAAATATTGAAACTCCCTAAGTGAATTCTAAGAGTTTGGATGTTCTTTCATAGATGCAAACCTGGCACATCTTGTTGTGCCAAAAAGTAAGGAAGTGCTAAAACGATGATGTAACATGTCAGGACACAGGTGCCCACATACAGGATCCCACTGCCCAAATCTAAAACAACTTAATCGACATAGTAATAAAAGACATCATATTAGAACCCACAGAATAAAACAAATCAGTATGTCCATACTAACATAAATAACTGGAAGAGCCCTAGCCGATTTGGCTCAGTGGATACAGCCATCAGCCTACGGATTGAAGGGTCTGGGTTTGATTCCAGTCAAGGGCACACGCCTGGGTTGTGAGTTCAATCCCCAGTAGGGGACATGTAGAAGGCAGCCAATCAATAATTCTCTTTCATCATTGATGTTTCTATCTCTCCCTTTTTCACTGAAATCAATATAAATATATTTTTTAAAATAACTGGAAGAAAAGGAAAAACACTTCATTACACTAGAATGACAAATAATAAATATAAAATTTATGGGGGGGAAATGAAAATCATCATTTAGTGACCATCATAGTAACAATTTTTTATTCAGCCAACGATCATCAATGGATGCTAAAACCAGTCAATGGAAGTTTGATATGAAACAGAATATGAACATATTTTTAAATGTATTGTATTGATTTTTTACAGAGAGGAAGGGAGAGAGATAAAGTTAGAAACATCGATGAGTGAGAAACATCAGCTACCTCCTGCACACCTCCCCAACTGAGGATGTTCCCACAACCAAGGTACCCTGGGACCCTTCAGTCCACAGGCCGACACTCTATCCACTGAGCCAAACCGGTTAGAGCTTAACATATTTTTTAAAGATTTCATCAAAAGATACTTAATAGTTACAGAAAAAAATAGTAACTTTACAGTGGAAAAACCAGGCAGATGTATCCTTAACCAAGTGATCCCAGTTAACAGCATTGGTAATGGGCAAATAGACATCATGTGCCTCCTGATATGATGTACTGAGAAAACAAAATTACTTGTTTGTAGTATTCTTATCAAAAAAAGATATAGCAAATCTAATAATGAAGAAATATTATGTAAAGTCTGTTAAAAAGGAAACAATTTTAAAGTATAATTATGACTCTTACACAGGTATAAAATAAACATGTCTTAAACATTTTTATCTCATGAACTAATGACAAAACCAGTAAAATATTATAACCAGTTAGAAGGAGAAACCAAAGTACTACTCATATAGTCAAATAAGGAATGTTGAAATGAATTTACAAGTAAACACAAAGCTACTAAAACTGGTTAATAGCAACAATCGACTGCATCCCTCTAGACATAATTTGCAGTTTCTATGCATAAGAAGCATTTGCACTCTATTAGTTTTCTGTGGCCTACAGCACTGTTAAAGGGCTTGACTGTAATGAAAGGCTCAGAGACACAGAAATCAGATCACTTGAAAGGTAGGTATGCCAGGCAACTTCTGATTCTCCTTGGAGACACCTAGTAATCTTCTGATCCATTTCCAAGTTTTTCACAAGTTTTCCCTGCAACCCAGATTGAGAGATAGTCTATAAAATAACTGTTCGTGAAATACAAAGAAAGACGGAGGAACTGTCTGCCCACCAAAATAAAAGATATTTAAAAAACAAAACAAACAAAACAAAAAACCTAAATGCACCATGTCCTCAATTGAATCCTGACCAAAAAAATATAGTTATTATTATTATTTGCTATAAAAAGCACATTAGTCGGATAATTGGTGGGATAATTGTTATTGAGGTATGTCAATAGATAATGTCATATTGATGCTAATTTCCTGATTTTAATCACTGTATTCTGGTTGTGTTAGAAAATATTCTTGTTTCTGGGAAACACACTCCAGTATTTAAGGTAAAAGAGGCAATGATGCCTCATCAAGTTAATCTCAAACTGTTTAGAAAAATATAACATAAAAAAAGAGAGAACAATAAAACAAATATGGAATAACATTAACATCTGGGAAAGCTGGCAGAAAAGTACGCAGTAATTTTTTACTATATTTGACTTTTGTGTAAATCTTAAATTATTTCAAAATAAAAAGTCTTTAAAAAGTATTTGCTGATTCTTTACTAAATAACTTAAAAAGGAGATTAATAATAGTCATTGGCCTCTAGGAATATAAAAGTCTGTCAGAAGAGAAAGATGGGTAAGCTAAAAAGTACAATACAGCATGACAATAAATACAGTTCTTTGAGAGTAGAGAGAAGCTATTTAGCTCCTACTGTGGGAGAATGTGGATGAAGATAAATCCAAAAAGAAAAGAATAAGAGAAGGCTTCCAAAAGAGGCAACAGTTAAAATTAATTGTAAAGGATGATGTCAGACAAATGGGATGTTGTGAAGCATTCTAGGCAAATGGAATTCAAAAGACCAGCATGCTGCATTCAGAAAATTATAATGAGGGCTTTAAATACATCAAAAGAGCCGAAACTGGTTTGGCTCAATGGATAGAGCATCTGCTTGAGGACTGAAGGGACCCAGGTTCGATTCCGGTCAAGGGCAGGTACCTTGGTTGCAGGCATATCCCCAGTAGGGGGGGTGCAAGAGGCAGCTGTTCGATGACTCTCTCTCATTGATGTTTCTAGCTCTCTATCTCTCTCCCTTCCTCTCCGTACAAAATCAATAAAATATATTAAAAGAAGCAATTGGCTGAGAACAGATGTTTAAGGATAAAGTGATATCCATTTCACACTTGACAAAACTCACTGGGGAGTGCATGAAAGGTGGGTCATAGGAAGGCAAGGCAGAAAGAGAGAAATCCAAGTGGAGACAGAGAAGGGTGAAAATTAAGTTGATAGTAAGGAAGTCTAATCCATAGGAATCAGTGACCAATTAGGTGTGGGAAAGAGGGAGAAGTTTTCTAGCTTATTTAACTCCACTAGCCTCAATAGGGGCTATTTCTGCCTGTGAAAATCACATACAGACAAAATTCAAGTTCTGCTGAACTTGAATACTTATTAATTTGCTTTCATAAACACTGCAAACACAAACAAGATGAAGTACTAACAGAACATTAAAATAAGTCTCCTAAAATGGGTTTAGTAAAATGATTTTGAGTTATTAAATTTTGCATTATTTTCCCGAACTACCCCAGGAAAGCATTCTGTTCGTGCCTTTCTATACTTACTCCATCACCAAGAGGCTTACCATACAATGCTCCTGCCTTTGAAATTCAAATGCAAAGAGACTGTAAAGGAAAGCATTTTTCTTGAAGAATAGAAAGAACTGGTATACACAATATTTTCTAAACCTCGAACCTAATCTATACATATAAAAGCCAAGTGACTGGAATGACTGGAATGACTGGAATGATCAGTAGCTATGACATGCACTGCGGCCAGCCAACCAGCCCGATGGGAGTGGGGTTGGTCAGCCAACCTCTCGTAGCCCCTCCCCATGGCTGATCCTCACACCCCAAGTGGGGGCGGAGCCAGTGGCCAACCTCCTACGACCCCTCACCATGGCCCACCTGCCCTGATTGGTCAGGGCAGGCTGGCTGGACCTCACCTGTACATGAATTCATGCACTGGGCCTTTAGTCCTCTAATAATGAAGCAATATGGCTATAACTGGGAGAGTAGCTGTATTTTTACCACACTGGGCTAGTCACCAGCAAGACTCCATCACTTAAAATATAGTCACTTAAAGTATGCCTCCAAAAAGAGTATAGTGAACATTTCCAATCCTATCTAATAAAGAGGGATTATGCTAATTGACCCTCATGCCCTCACAAAAATGGTGGTGCTTTGGCCAATAAGGAGGGAATATGCTAATTGACTGCCACACCCTCAAATATGGCTGTACCCACAGCCACAAGATGGCGGCACCCAGTCCCCTTAGCCCACCAGGGTGGCAAGCATGTGACAAGTCCTCCAGTCCCCTCAGTGCCACAGCCGCCCAAGGCCGCCTGAGGCTCAGGTAACCAGGGCTGGCCAAGGCTTGTGCTGCGGGCAGTGGCAGCAGCAGAGGTGTGATGGGAGTGTTGCCTTCCCTGATCACTAGGTTACCTCCCACTCCTGAGGGCTCCTGGACTGTGAGAGAGCACAGGCCAGGCTGAGGGAGCCCCCAATCCAGTGCATGAATTTCCATGCACAGGGCCTCTAGTATGAACATAAGAGCCCCTACAAAGATCACATTGGTAAAGGCAGAAATGGTCAAATTATCACCACACAAATTGCTGAATCTGGTGATCTGAATGCTCTTTGGACTTCAGATCTATTTTAACAGCAGTCTTAATAGAACTTGAGAAACAAAAAATATGACTTTAGCAAATGAAATAGAGTTCAATATAAGGACTAATTCTCTGAGGACCCTTGGGTGACCAAATGGCTAATTGCAAAGAATGAATTAAAATTTTAAGAGACAAGACATGTATCTTTAGTTTGACGATATGATCTTAGACAAGTCTCTTATACTATCTGTGCTTCTGTTTTATCTTCACTCTCAACATATCAAGAAAAATATGAATTTTTAATACTAATTTAAGAATACTTAGTTATAAATATGTATTTTCATGGTGAAGGGAATCAAAACTTGCCACTTCAAAATATATCATTTGGCAGGAGGATTATTTTAAGCTGAAGGCAATTTAAGAAATAGCAAACACAGGAGGAGCTCTCTACTCTCCATCTATCTACCTAAGAGGAGGGCATAGATTTCCCTTTCTGTAATTCTCCCATACAAAGAGATGAAGACTCTTATCATTAAAGACTTCACTAACAAATTTACATAAACAAACCTTACTAAAATAGCTCTTATCATT